GATTGGAAAAGAAAAAACAGTATGGGGTCGGGGCACACGGTGTGAATATTTGCACAGTTTTAATTTTTAATTATTTTATTTAGTTAATTAGTTGGCATTAATTTTGCTGACACTACATTAGATCTAGGATCTAGCGCCGCGAGCTACTGTAGAGGCTCCGGCGGGGCGATATATACCTTAGCCCTCTGACCACCAAGTCAGTAAAGGTAACCCGAGTTGCCAGAGTCTGATATCGCCTTGGTTGAAGTCCGTCTTTTACAAGACATTCCCTTTAACTACAGATTACTTTATCCTTTGCGCTCGGGGGTCCCCTTTTTTCCTTATCAATTTTCCTTTGTTTCCCTATCCCTTTCTATCCCTAATTCTACCTATTTTTCCCTTATCTTGTGTTGGTGCCATCGGCCTCGGTTGCGACCGAACCGATGTAGGTGTTTCGAGCCATCGGGCGACACAGTTGACGTAGCGCTGCTACTGTGACCCATTTTCCAACGGAGACTGTTGCAACGACGTCTCCCTCGAAGGGCTCCGTCGTAGTACGAGCCAGTGTTGGTACCATCGGTGTCGGTTGCGACCGAACCGGTGTAGGTGTTTCGACCCATCGGGCGGCACGGTTGACGTAGCGCTGCTACTTTCATTTCATCCCGTCGGGCTGCGTTGCGACGCCCCCGTCGAAGGCCTTGTCGCGTCACAAGGTGTCGAAGAAGCTCAACGACCATTGGCCTTACAACTCACTGGAACCGGGGTACCTACGTACGCGCCCCACCCCACCCCACACTCGTCGAGCAGATCTCTTCGCAAGTCTCTACCACACCGATCCCGGGCCGGGCTGTTTCTCTGTGCCCCCCCCCCCTATCAGGGATCTGGGCTACTACGAGTCGCAAGCTCGTTTAAACGGAGAAGGGAGAGTCGGACACTCCGTAGCCCTGTGCCATCGGCAGATCTTCTTTTTGCTGCTGTTGTTGTTTTTGCTGGACCATCGGACCGCGGTCTCTGCCCGACAGGCGCATTGCACTACAAAAGTGGTCCCCCGACCTAGAATTTTGCGTACTGAAGACCAGACCTAGAAACTGCGTAAGCTGAAAAGAACTACAGGAGTTTTCTCTGCGACGTAAGTTTATTCAGGTGCTGTAGCGTTTTCTATTTTTTTCTTTGTGTTAAG